ATTAACCAATAGAATTTTTACTATATCACGGGTTGATCTACAAAAATTGGCCAATCAAAATAAAAGCCCGCTATGTTCCCTGGTGGTCGATTTGCATACATAATCAGTTAAATCTTGTGTGTATATTTCATGAGTTTATTTTATTATATTATTATCAATGTACATTACTTGCATATCGAAAATTTTTCTTGGCAATTTTCTGAGATGGCCCTGGAAATTATTAATTTAATAAAGTTATGGGTGGAGTCGATTTACATGATCATGTTAAAATGGCGAAGTCACCGGACCCCTCTTTATTTCATAAAAATTGTTGCCCAAACGAACAACAATATACAAATAAAAAAATATAAATAAAAAATACAAATACAAACTTTTGAACATATCTACATCTTATATAAAACAATGGGAAACTCCAAATCTGAACTAGATTTATTGAAGCAGGAGAATGCCAGACTTATGGCTAGAATCGCAGAATTGGAACAGATCGCGAAAGAAAAAAATGAGCTTGAGGTTAGAATTGTGGAATTAGAACAATCTGCAAGAGAAAATATTGAGCTTAGATCTAGGGTTGCAAAATTAGTACAAAAGCTATCACAAAATGACTCACGGAGTAAGGATGCTGGGGAGACTGAACAGGTAGATACATTCATTTCAAAAGAACAATCTTTGGCTAATATTAGCGGTACGGCCAATGCTTCTCATAAAACGAATTCTGATGATACATCTAAACAAATCGAAATTAATTCCGATAATATATTTGATAACACTTCAAATCCTGATGTATGTCACGAGTCTTCATCCCAATATCCTGCATCACCTATTCGCAAAGAGAGTAAATCATTGGAAGATAAGGCAGTCGATGAATTCCTGGGTTCGACATATAAAGAAAAGGTTAGTAAAGAGATAATTCAGAGAATTAGGGAGAAGAAACTTCAGGAACAAAAATTATCCTCTATATCGGTTGAAGAATTATGTAGTGAAAAAGTGAGACCGAAAGTCCCACTTGAGCAAAACAGCAAATCGGTGCTGATACAGCCTGAAGAAACAAAAGTTTTACATGATTATATAGTTGCCCACACAAGTCATAACCAGGCACAAAGTATCATTTCTTCTAAAATAAATATTATGACCAAACATCAACCCTGCGACCCGGGTCTCACCCTCATGTGACTGAAATTAAAAACGATTCAATTCAGAAGGATAGCCGAATTGAGATGTAAAAATTTATACAAGAATTATATTTAGAACCCATAACAGAAGAATCAATTGAAGTCATTAAAAATAAAGAGCCAGATATATCAGATCACAATGAAAATGACGAAAATGACAAACATATTGTTATCAAATTGGCTCATTTATATCAAAAAGCAAGGAAAGCTAAAAAGAATACTATCTATGCTAAGCAAGAAGAAATTTTAAGCTGGTATTATTATGCAGAAGGTTTCGAAAGGAGGGTTAATGGTAATTTATCTATTTGCCAAAATAATAAAAAAGCAGATAACTTGGCAAAAATTCAAGCTTATGATGAAATTTGGGATTGTCTTTCTGGTGTCTTACGTGAGAATTTCTGCAAGCAAACTCAAAGAGCTTGTAAGATTTATAAATTATTTAACGGTATAGAAAAGGATAAGATTAAATAAGTTAAATCTTATAGTGCAAATGGAATATCAAAACTCTCTAACTCACAAATTCAATATATTATAGAACATTTTACTAAAGAATCCCAAAATAGTAAGGATACTTTCACTTCTAACAAGGTGGAATGTATATCATGCAACTTTGGGTCTCACCCTTATGTGACTAAATCGTCTGACCCAAATGATTTAGCGGAAAGTGAGGTAAGTGCATCATCTATATCCAACTCGTGATCATGCTTATTTCTGAAATAAAACATTGGATCAGTATCCTAATTTATATTGAGAAGGCAGTGATGGAAATGACGATTATTATGGAATCACTGATGAATCTTTATGCCCACTATGCAAGTTAGATCACGATAATGATAATAGTATAGAAGGTAGATATGAAGTTGGATCCTACTATATTAAATGTGAACAGCGTGGAATTGAAATTGAGGTAACGGCATGAACTTTATCTTATGCTAATACAATTCGCTTAAGTATTTAAGGCATCTCTCTAAGACATATTTATTTTTTGTTGGTTATTGTATTGTGAAACAATAAGCTTTGCTCTAATTTAAAGAGATGTGCAATCATATAAAATAGGAACATGATTACGCAGGCAAAGGCCAATAAAACATTAACTCACGAATATTTGGAGTGGGAAACCAAATTAGAATTACCAAGCATTTTGTCTGATAAAACTCATTCTAGATTCTATAATAGATATAAGAATAAAACTGGGCTCGACCCCTGGATAATGTCTGAAACCTTTGAGTCCCCACAAATCAAAAAGGATGCCGAAAAAAGACATTATTTGTACCACAAATAAATGTTCAGCCTACACTATCCAAACTTCGATCACTAATTTCTGTTCTACTTAAAGACCCGGAAGAAAGCAACAACACGTTATTAAAATGGTATTAGAATGATTTCCTTATTTAACTTTGAAACATAGTTTTAAATATAGTAATTATTTTGATTTTAATAGATCTGTACTCTGTCCTATATGCAACAATGATCATAAAAAAGAGAATATAAGAAATTTTATAGAGGGTGAGTGGGGAAGTGGCGAATATTGTGGTGAAAAAACTTATCGTCTCTATTGTTATAAAAATAAATATCAAAATTCAATCCAAATAGTAACTATAAAAGCGTAGATTAATAAGAAAACTCTTTTATTTCCACTAATTAATAATCGCAAATTGCATTGCAGGCCCAAAGGGGCGACTCTAAAGGGTCAAAATCACATAAAAATAAAAGATAATTAGGAGCCTAGCAGACCCCTTCTTTATTTAATATTTTTTTTGCCAGAATGAATAAAAAAAAATATATAATAAAAAAAACAAATAAAAAAATATATATTGCTGTTATATAAAGCGAATAAAAAAATATATTTTTACTGCTTTGGATTTATAATAAATACTGCGTTATTAAGATCTTCAGGTTTTTTAAAAATTTCAGATAATTTCTCTTCCGATTTAATATCTCATATATAAGCAATTCTTTTGACCAAAATTTTAAAACGTGCTTCAATCTTTGCTTTAAAATCTTCAAATGTACAACCTCACTTAATTACATCAGGATATTTACGGGATGGAAATTCAAGCACAGTATCAAATTCATCGGGAAGTGTGGCCATTTTTTTTGAATATAAAATTTTAATGAGTTTCGCTTTCATAGTTTTTGCTATAAATGTCACAATCTCATATAAATCATTACCTTAGAACTAAATTGCAGGTAACTTATGTTAAACTTTTTTTTAAAAAATATATGAGCAAAAAATAACGTTATTGCTAACTTATCTTATAGATGGGAACTTGCTTATTTTATACTGTTCATTCGTTAGATCTTAGAACCTACCAGAAAAAAAAGTATACGATTAGTAAGTAAATAACAGAATAAAGCAGAATAAAGCAACTATAAGTTCCAAATACTGGGTCTATTTTGTTATTTTTCTGGTAAAATTAACTTCATTAGATTCGACAATCATTTCTGCGAAGTGAAAAAAGTCAACAATCTTGACGATTTGGAAATTCCAAGTCACCCATGATATATAAATTTGGACAGGCAAAGCCTGGGGTCTATGACCCATAAAACTACTGATAAGAAACATTATATTTATTACCCTTATAGCCTTTTTAGACACAAAGTGTCCTGCTTCGCAGAGCCTCGCAGGATTGTATAGGTCTAGACATTATTCGCAATATTCATTATTAATAAAAATTAATCGTGAGAATTAATCCTGCAGGAGAGTGACACAAACCAATTCCTAATTTTATGCGACTTATAATATTGTAATGCAATAAAAAGATTTTTAAATTATTCTCACTACATACATATATTAAAAGGTTATAAACTACTGTTAAGCCACTATTTCTTGGAAAGAGGATGCTCTGCATCTGAAGTACTGTTGATACATGTTTATAATAGGGATAGTTCGAAGGTGTGGTTACACAGACAGTTCAAAGAAGTTAATATAATATCTAGTGTGATTTTATAGTAACAAGACTTGAACTCCTTATAGTGAAAGGCTTCGATTGAGGCGTGGAAAGAATTATTCTGAGTAATAAGGATTTTTTTGCCTTGTATTTACAGGTATAGTATTTTTTCTTGTAATTAATTTTTAGTACTAGTCTTCTAATATTATTAATTCGAGCTTTCGCTTTGCTGGGGCACGAGAAGTTCATAGTGACATATGTTAACGGATAATTCTGGAACCAATCAGAGATTTGACAAGGTAATAATGATTTGGAACTAATAAAATTGTGGGGTCACGAATATCAATAGTACAAATAAAACAACAATTTATTAACAAAGGAAAATATTCGTTCTATATATACTTATTGCTAATACATGATTTAATACGAAATATACTACTAACACCTATCTATTTTATTTAATAGCAATTTATCAGTATTATCATTCTAATTCTCCTAATTATTTAATTAGTAATTATATCGATATATCTTACTGAATTAATTATGAATTTTATGAATTCGTGTTATATCGAATTTAATAGCTGTGAATTTAACTTTCCTCATTTATAGATTCCAGTGGCCCTCCAATATCGGGCATACTTAAATCGCTGTCATTTTGTGATGCAGATAAATTAAGCCTGAGGTAATATTTATTAACTCAGATGAAGATGAGTATGTCACATTACTTAAATTTCCACTTGCATCATTCGTGTTATTACCCGAATCTTCACACACACATCATTTACATTAGCTAAGCTATGTCCAACGGCACTATTTATATTATCTCGATTACTATACTCATCCCTTCTACTAGGAACTCTCTAGATGAGTGATGCAGATCGATTCCTTTGATTGTTGGTGGATTCACAGCGACTAGTACTTAGAATTGATGGCACTTTGTAAGTTGGTGGTGGAGTACGGTTACGGCGACATCTTCTGGTGGATGAGTTTGCATTATGCAATATGTTGAATGGAGTTTCTATATTCTCATATACAAGGCAATTTTATGAGTTATCTATATATTTACTACTATGGTGATAAATTGTATCATAGATGAACTTACTAGGTCTCTCTCAAAAATGAGAATTAAATTCTTCAAAATATCGTTCACCTGCTCTGCTCCTCTTTCCGGTTTTGCTCCCAGCTATATATAAACACATCGACTAAAAAAGTTTCAGCGAGGCAACACAGCCAATATAAAAGTACATTTGAAATACTATCATATGGAATGTCATAGTTAAAAAAGTATATAGAGTTTAATGCCTACATTGCAATTTCTAACAAGATTCTGAAATCTATTATTACATTGATGTCCTGTATAGGTGGTCCCAAATTGTTCATTGATTGTGTTTGCTATACTATTCCAAAAGTCTACCCTACTACTACCGGAAATGTTATAATAATCCGCATTTCGATTTTTTCTTTCATCGATCAATAAGCATAATTGATCATCAGTCCACATCACAAAAATTTAATTTCGACGGATACCCAACTGAGATACACTCACAATATGATATTTCCATACGTTTTTATAAGAAAAAAAAAATCATCATACTTTCAACGCACCTTCATTGTACCTTCATTGTACCTTCATTGTCCTATTGCATCTTAATTATGAGTTAATATAATAACAACATAGTCTATAAGTATGGATCTAAATATAGGGTATCTACGCACATCTCAGATTTGCTTATCTCAGATCGAGTGATCTCAAATAAAAATAATGATTATTAACCCGATTTAATATTACGTCCGAAATGTGTATTCTTCATCGTAGAGAATAAATCATGTGATAAAACGCGAACCTGTGGATTATACTTTTACACTTCAGTAAAAAAAATGATGCTAGATGTTTAATTAACATGTGTTGTGATAGTTATAATGTATAAAATAACGGTTATTCTAAATTTGTAAATCCGGCTTAAATACACGTATAGCAATAACGTGTAAAATTTTTACAGTACCTAAATATGTCTTTCAACAAGTTATTAATAATGTAATCCGAATATAGAAAATGTGCAATTGTTGATTGATTTGTCGTGTGCAATATTTGTTTGTTAGTAATTATTCAACAGTGTCCTATGGCCTGGATGTACAAATATTTAAATGGCTTATCAGGCAATCTGCCCCTTAAAAATAAACATACCATTAGGATAATTGAGGCTATTAATACAACACCAAATATAACAAGCCATGTAACAATAACCAACTTGAAACATTCCTTAAGTGCTACGTGTATAAGGCTCAAATAAATATGTATATCAATATAAAATCTTTTTTTTTAGCTTTTTGTCTGAAATTTTTTACCTATATTCTATCTTCTTACACTAGATTGTTTTGTGTTGATAAGACAATTGCTATAACTATTTGTTACAAGTATACTTAGTTATGCAAAAAATTTCATTTCAACTATAGAAGCGATAGGGCCTCTGACTATGCATAATCTTCTTAGGTGCAGTTATTGCTTTTCAAAGCAGGCCTGGGATCTGACTATTACCTCCCCACAATTTATTTTTTTCTCTGCTTATAAACCCAATTTTAGAGAGCATGATCGTCAGTTATAATAGTCTTAATAGTGAGAAGAGAAAGACCCGATGAGCTTCTCACAGTTTAGTCTACTGAGCTACAATATAAGAAATAGCTTTGAATATATCCACCTTGAAATTTACATAAGTACATAACATGTTGCTATATTATCATTTACGATCTAATCTGAAAATTTTATAATATGCTGGATGAATTGGGTAAGTAATATATTTTTATTTTCTTGCACAAGATTATATTGCGTTGATAGATCAATCACCAGGTTACTTGTTACGGGTATGTATAGTTATACAAAAAATTTTGCTTGAGTCTTCACCTTTTACGATAGGGCCTTTGACTATGTGTGTTGTGTATTCGAAAAAGCATAATCATTATTGCTGGTGGCTCAGTACTTTGACTTGGGTAGTTCGTTCAGTCCACAAAAATAATCAATTAGGTGATTCAATTGGACCACATAAAATATAATTTTAATCTTATTTTTTAATTTTTTATATGGGATACAATTTGAATATGAGAATGGTACAAGTGAAATTTTTCGCACCCCTCAGGTCTACAATTCTCACTACAACCCAATATGCATCTCTCCCATTCTCATTTATATATTACTTACAAAATATAACAAATATAAACAACTCATCTAATAACCCAATTCATACTAAAAATGAATATGTTTTAATCATATATATTGTACCAAATCTAATAGACCAAAAACACTAAAACTGCTAAATATATAAGCAATAATATGTCTGGTTTTGATATCGCCACTATTATTGATAAAAAAGATAAAACACTTCTTAAACTATATATTAATCGTCCTGGTTTTGATATGAAGTATGCTGTATCATATATATCACATTATGGTAGAACTTATGCTAATAAACTCAATCAAATTTTCGATAATGAGAGATTATTTGATATTTTATTTACCATAAAACAGAACGAAACACCTATTCAATGGGCAATACAAGTAAGAATTTTATTACAAGATTTGTTAAATTCAGAAAAATTTAGTATATATCATCGATATTGTTTATTTATGTTATATGGTAAAGATAAATTTGTTAATTTTGATTATTACAGACCAAGGATTTATAAAAGTCATATGGCTATTTGTTTTGGTTGCTGGAAATTGATAACGTGCAACCTAAAAAATCATTTCATTTTACTAGACAAAGATATGTTGATTGTCTCGTACCTAGTGATTTGATAACCAGTCATTGGGATAATGATTGTAATAAACCAAAGACTGATTTCGGAAAAGCAAGAATTATACAAACTGCTTATCGAAATTATAAGAAAAAGCCTGAATCAGAATCCAATAGAATCTGGGAAGCAGTCAGAAATAACGATACTTCTGAGAACAAGAAGTTTTTAGGTAAAACTCCTCAAAAAATAAGACTTCCTGAAACTTCTTATGTTGGATATGATATGGTGGGGGAACGATTCTAGCTAAAGATGTACCAGCATATGCCCAAAATTTACCTAAAATGTTTTATCGTTATAGTCCTAAAAGTTGGGCAGATGCTAAGAAATATCAATTACAAAAAAGATTATATAACTACATTTTAAATTTATTAGGACAACAAGAATACAGAGTAATCAATAGTAAGCAATGGTATGTAATATTAAAGTGAATACAAAATCCTGAATTATATATTGATAATAAATACCCGCCATTTATTAGAATCAGATAAATTATTATAAACAGTTCATAGAGAAATGCATCAAATTATTAATCTATAGCTTCACAATACACATATCTATATATTCATATATATCTATTGAAAATAAATTTTATTTCGTTATCTTTCTTAAAGAAAAGAAGTAACATTTTTTACTTTGATTTTTCATATCAATCTATTTTACCCAGTACAAAAATCTCCTTGGTACAAATAAACTACAGAATTTATTTATTTTTCAACATCTACTTTAACCTCAATCAGGCTGGATACTGATAGCTATTTCATTGGAGAATAGTAGCGAATAAGATACTAAAAACATCCACCTCAATTTAAATACTAGGTAGGCTAGATACATGTATCTTCTCAATTATATAAGAAGTGGTGAGTAGGATGTACTTATATTGTTGTATTAATAAATAACTAAAAAAATAATTATTCGATTGTTATGCCTTATTTTATCTGATTTTAAAGTATTATATCTTCTGAAATATCGCCCTGGTTAGGCAGAATGTTTATTATCTTTTAATTCCTCGATCTCTTTTTCTAGATCAAGAGGGGTATCTCATCGAAGTGAGAAATCTTAGATCTGGGTTTATTCAGATCTATAACTATAAACTCTTTTTGCCTCAAATAATTTTTGAAGCTTTTCGCGGATCTACATCAGTGTAAGAACTTATAATATCTGCAAGTTTTTGAATAGAGCCCCCACCATTAAAGAGAACAATGTGAGTAGCATTTTCGCAAATATCTAGTGGAATTTCTGAGCAACATAAATTGAAGAAATATTCTCATGACAACCTCGAGTAAAAAATGTAATAATTTTTTTCTGTATAGCTAGGGGGTCAGAGTAAAGATCTTCAAATATCGCTAATGTACTTCTTTTAGCATTAAACTTTTTGGGATCTGGGATTTTATCAGGAGATAGTGAAGAAAATATGACATCTTTATAATAGAGCTTTGATTTGTCTTGGGCAAGATATTTATAAAAATCTCGAACTATTCTATATTTTGGCTCATTTAAATGATATTCGAAAAGAAATATATTATCGCATTTAATATTGCGTTCTCCTATCTTAGAATGCTTTTTCTTGTTAAATATGTAATAAAATTTGGGCATTGTTAGCAAGTTTAAATTCATATTGGTCTTACCTGAATTGCTAGCCCCTGCCATCAC